AGTATTATGTATTATTTATAAACCAGTATTACTTTTATTCAATTGTTTTACCTAGTCAAATAAAAGAGATTTTTAATTCTAATTATATATATATATATATATATATATATATATATGTATCATTTCAGTTACGACAGAAATTAATCGTAGAAATTGAACGTTTATAAATATAAATTCACGATAATACTAATATAGGATTAACGAAATAACTATTTTATATCGACTGTATTTCAATATCATTTGACTTTTCATATTTATTCTTAATTCGCTTATGATTTAAATAAGATGCAAAAATATATCATTAACTATTTTCTATAAATATTTGATAATTATTGACGTTTTACGACGAGCTGTACAAATTACTTTCGTATAGGTTATTTATATATTGAAAATAAAAAATGTAAAGAAAATATTATAGCAAATCTTTTACTATTAAATATTAATTTTAATTATAAGTTTTAAATATGAATTAATTTGAATGATTAACGAAAATATTAACGACAGTCTTCGCTATTTCAAAATTGAAATAAATTTTTTTTATCTTATTATCTTTTTTCTTATCTGAGTTATATCATTATTATCTTATTATTCTAATATTTTATATATTGAATTTATCAAATATCAAGTATTTTAAACTATGATTGTCATGAATTTGTTTCATAGTAGATTTAAAATAGTTTAAATAATATCATCATGAAGATATGTGTAATTTTTAGGGGATTATATCAAATGTGAAAAAGTATGCTGTGAAAATTTATACGACGCACGTATCGCGTAATTTATATATGTTGTAATGTACAGTACTTTTCTTCTCTACCGCATTTATTTGATTTAGATGGAGAGATAAATAGGATATAAAATTTATACATTATAATTTTTAAATAATAAATTACTGTTTAGGATTAAATATATACAAATTTCAAATAAAATACGACAGAATACAATAAAATATAGCAGCTTCTGATATAATTACTTAAAATAATTAAAATATATGTAAATATGTGTTTCAGGAAATCTCGACGCAGTTTCTTAAAATATTTTTGACAAATATTTCATATCGATACTGGAAGCACAATCAAATTTTTCAAGTTTTATAGAAGAATCAACTATCAACTTGTTAATTGTAAATTATGTATACTAAAATTCTACGTCGAATCAGGAAATTCTTATAAATAATTATGATTTATCGATAGTATTAAAAGTACGAATGAATTTAAACGAAAATTTGTTTTTATAAGATTAAGCATTTCAAATTATATTCCATAACCTTTTAACCAACAACATCTTCATTTTTATCAGTTAGTAATAGATTTAAAGCTATTAGATTTTATTTTCGTGAAATATTAATTTCTATTTTTGGATTTTTGTATTAGTCGATATTATTGAAATATCCATGCAAGTTCGACAAAAACAACAAAATTATTTGTGCTACAACCTTTAGTGGAGTTTCAGTACCATCATATGATTTATCATAAGATTTTATTATTTACTTTAATATTGAATAATTCATATATTTATATATTTACAATCATATTAAATTTTTCATCTTATACATAAGTTTATAAATTTCTATTAACTAAATTTAAGAATCAATAAAACCGAAATAGTCACTTTTTCATAGTGATAGTATAGGCTATATTTTATTACCCTTGGTTTTTTGTTCCAGTGGTTCATAAGTAACTTAAATTCAATTTTTCAATTTTATTTCTTGTAATATTTTCAAATCATATATATTTGGTATGATTTTTATAAAATATATAAATTAACATTTTATTGATTTCATAGTTTATTTTAATGATATTTGTAATTTACTTTATTTTCTTTATATTCATACTATTGTTTGAACAATTTTTACTATAAATATTATTTTCATATTACAAAAATCATTTAATGTAATATATGCTGTTAAATGGATAGAAATATAGTAAATACCAACATGTTTTTTTTTTTTTTATAAGAGTAGCCTGTACTTATTTAGTTCATTTAAAATTTATTTATTTCTGAGACTCAAATTTCTCTTCTTCAATCACACAAAATATATTTATATTTTTTAACTTTAATAAGTCTTTATTATATCTTTACTTTAAAAATTATTTCTTTATTATGTCTATTATTTTTAATTTCAAAATCCTTACTAACATTACCCTTATAAGCTTCATTTGGTAGGTTTTATTTACGTATAGTCAGTTCTAAAGTAGAATTTAAAAAGTTCTTTAATTTATTTTTAATTCATAATTGTACAATTACATTAATGAACTTTTTTTTTAAAAATTAAATAAATATACTACCTTGACATAGTTATTATAACTTGCTTTAATAAATACAAATCTACTCAATTTAAGAATTGAAATATGAATTTTATTTTTAAAAAAGAATGTATATTTGTAATTGTCAACGTCATATATATATATATATATATATATATATATAATAAAAATTAAGCATTCTATTCCGTAGTTTATATATTGTATTTCATTGTATTTCATGCGATTTTGGATGCAAGTAAAAATATTAACTTTATTTCGAGAAAATTGGTGGCATCATGATTTTATATGGTAAAAGAAATGTATCTTCTAAAGCTTATTTTATATTATTATCATTATGTTCTTTTGTAATAATGAATTTCAATGTGTGATATATTTACACTTTATAATTAATTTATTCTCTCAGAAAATGCTTAATTTCCTTTAAAATGTAAATAATCTATTTATATTTTATTAAAAGAAATTTATAAACAAATAGACATTATTAGCAAAATTACGAAATTTGTAACGTTATATTTAATGATTCTTTTTCATTACGTTCCCTTTGATGACTACTTGGAAGTCTCTGTAGCTCTTGGAAACTTTTGATAGAAATAATTTCATAAGAAAACAGTAAATTTAAAAATCTAGCTACTAAAAATCAGTCAAAAATACTATAGAAGAATGAAAGGATTTGATAAATCGGAGTTTGTTAAAACTATTTATTTCACATAAATTATATGTAATAGTAGTGTAGAAATGAAAAAATCGATCTCTATGAAGAATTTACAATGTTTGTTCATTTTACTGCAAACAGTATTGTTAAACGTTTAATGAATATTGCTAATTGATTTTGATGAAAATATAATAAATGCCCAAATTATAACAGACCATTTGTCAATAATCGTCGATTTTAGAACAAAGAACGGTGTTAAGTATCAGCCAATAAATAGTTCATCGTATAACAGGTTAAAATTAACGTATCAGATATTATTACATTTAAGCTGAGACACTTGGACAATTGTGACGAGTAAAAAAAAAGAGTTGGAGTACAAGTACTGAAGAGTGAGAAACAGAAAACGAATTGCGGGTGGGCTCGCGCATGTTCACCAGATGTGGCGCCCAGCGTTGGCTTTGCGTGAATCGCCGTTGTGCCACCGCCACCGCCGCCGCCGCCGCCGCCGCCGCCGCCGCTGCATGTATGTAGTACTTCTCCACCCCCGCCCCATCATCGTCCGCCGCCACCGCCGCTACCGTCTCCCCAAGTGCCAAGTCGCCCGGTTCAGTTGCCGTCCCGACGCGGTATCGCGCACGTCCAATATATATATATGTATATATATATATATATATATATATATGTATGTATGTATACATACATCTTCGCTTGAGCACAAACAGCCGATTCTTCAGCTTGAGTCCACGAGCTCTTGCAATCTGCATGCGGGTAACCATGCACAATGTCATGTGGTGCGGCAGCTTCGAGTGGAAAGAAAGAGAAATTTTTTAGAACGTTCAGTGGCCGAAAATGAATAGGAAAGAAAAAGAAACTACCGAGTTGTAAGTGCGAGAGTGGTAAAATTATTGTCGAGATACGAGTACTTTTGGGACGATTTCTATTTTTAATCGATGTATATAAAACACACAAGGGTTAAGTGCAATTTGCTCTACACTCGACGATATTTCCACGACGAGCATTCAAACTGCGATATTATAATTTTCCTCCACGTGCAGAGTATTGGTTCATCGACACAGTAGGCTTCGCGGTCTTCATTTATCGAAGAAAGGAATAACGTCAGGCGTACGCACTTGAGTTAAAAACACAAATGCGCAAACACGTACATGTATGAGCGAGTGTAGCATTGAGGCGGTCGTTTCGTTCCCCATCCAAGAAGTTTATTTTCGTCTTTCCCCACGATTCCCAAAGTGTATAGCTGTGTACGCACGCGACTCTGCGGATGTGCATCTAGCTCGACTTCTTTTAGTGAACCAAAGTCTTTAAACGTGAAGAATCGTGCTTTGAAGTGAACTTACCGAGTGCTCGTTTATACTTTTTCATTTCGTAAAAAAAAGTCATTATTATTATTATTATTATTATTATTATTATTATTATTATTATTATTATTATTATTATTAGTGGTAGGGATTCTAAGCGTGAACAATATTTTTATTTACATTTTGAAACATTTTTATAGTTTTAATACCTAATGGTAATTCATTATTATAATTTGTATTTATAAATTATATAACTATACGATGGATTGTGCATACCAATTTTTTTAGAACATGATTTATTAATTACATATTTTAGATTTGAGAATGAAATTATCGGTGCTTATAATATTTAATTTTTGCTAAGATATTATAAAGACATGTAGAAATGTACAACAAATTTTCATTAAATTTGTCAATCTATCATTTGAATAAAAGTTAATAATATATATATATATATATATATAGACATCAAAATTTAAGATTCTGATGTAAATTAAATTTGTAACTTTAAGAATTTTGTAAGGCCATATATAATGAGATGTTATTACTAAAAACCCTTAAGTACTCATTAACATTTATATAAATTCCTTCAATTAGAATCACTTGTATTTATATTTATCATCTTTGTTAAAGTCTCAAATTAGTTCTTACAAGCATGTAAATTATTTACACTATATAATTATATTTCATTTTGTATGTATCGATATAAAAATAGTTTTATTATATATCAATTTTTCTTACTCATATTTTATTTCTTAGTGAAATTTAAACGGATTAGAAGAAAGTAACGATGGGACAATGTTTAAAAAAAAATGGAATCCGAATAGTTACTAATAGCGCGAATAAAAAATGTATCTGAATATAAAAGGGGCGTAAGAAGAAAATCAGAGTTGCACATTAAGAGCGACAAAGTCGATGAAATGTCAGGGCTGTGCATCGTTTGGGTTATCCTATCCACTCTGGCATCGATACTCGCCTGCACTGGTTTTTATTTGCCTTACTGGATCCAGGTGAGATATTCATAACATTTCAATTCACTTTATTTATAAACAAAATCTATTTCTGATATCGTGAAATATACGTATATGCTCTTTCTTGATTACGATTTGAAGAAACTCTGAGTATATTTATTGTAAAATACATGTACAAAATATTGTAAAAAATTTTTCCAGTTTCAAATAAACAGAAATATAAATATTGCACGTAATCTGAATAATATGCTAATGACAATTCATTAATATTTTTTTTTAGAATTAATCAAATATTTTTATATGTGTCATTACTAGAATGATTGCTACTGTTCAATAATTTCTTCTTCAATTTATTCAATACTTATAATTTATTCTACAGTACAGTCGATTATTAAAAATTTGTATGCCTTGTAATGAATATATAAGATACTAAAGCAGACAACGTTATCTCTCGCTAACAGTTACATTGTAGCCATGAACTTTATTGTAAATATATTCCCTTATTTTAATGGATATGCAGCCCTGATATAAATTCAATAAATTATTAAATAAATAATCCATAAATAAGTGCTAAAAAATATCTGTAATACATAATAGAAATGAAATCAAGCAATAACAGAATAACTAAAAACATGAAAAATATGAAATATGAGGCTTAATAACTTTTAAATATTTCATTAAAACTTTGTATCTTCTATGAGTTATAAAGATTTTTAGTAATAAAATTCATAATAAATAGGAATATAATAACATTTACATAAAATTCAATCTAAAAAGTTAAAAGTTTGCAAAAATGAGTTAATTTTCAATTTCGTCTGTAATACAAAGATTTTTCATCGTGTACAAGTTGATCTGAGCTTATTTTAATTTTTCTTAATACTTGTTCAAAAATTATTTTAATTTATTACTTTTTACTAAACTGCCATTATAATTCTATTTTACCTTCTAGGCTGTCCAAATATCTAATTAACTTTTTATAACAATTTTTAATTTACCGAAAAGTACACCAAGGTTTCATGAAATAGTAGTAATTCCCTTTTTTTCATTAAAAACTACGTGTTTTAATAGTTTCTTCAACCAAAACGTAATATTTTTAATTGATTTTTTATACAAATATTTATAAAATTATCATAAAATTATTTCTGAAATTATTTTTGAAATCGCTAAGGTCAAATGAGTTAGTCGTAAAGATATTAATTAATTTTATCATATTTATTAATTAACATAAATATTTGTTTATGATTCAATATATTAATATAGATAATATTAATATATTAATAATATTTATAAGTCTTAACTATAAGTTAGCTAAGAGGTTGATTTACTTAATAACTAATATTAACCATGTTATTATTAATTGGGAAAACAGTGCTTGCATGTATGATTCGATGTTATATAAAAAATAAATAAATATAAAATTTACATTGACTAACTAAATTCTACGAAATATTATTTATTTTTAAATTAATTTATTTGTAAATAGGAATTTATTGTTTTTACTAATGTTATTGGAACATGCTTTTAATTTCAGTAATTTAATATTTAAAGAACTAAAATTTTACAGTTTATTAGTTCTTTAATTTATAAACATCAAATTGACCAATATAAAATGAATTGTAATTTTTATATTTATAAACTGAAATATACGAGCAAAATATTTGTAAAATTACTTAATAATTAGCTAAGATTGTACCGTGTAGCATTAATAAATCTAATTTTCAGGAATCAATACAGGAAATTTATTTATTAAAAATGCATATTGTTATAAGTTTTATAAAGTCATATTTTGAGTAATGAGAATTAATATATTAATGTAATATTTTTTTGATATATATTTTAAAAGTATATATATAATTGTAAAAAATGTGAGTAGAACATTATTATTATTATTATTATTATTATTATTATTATTATTATTATTATATACAGCTGTAAGTGTAAATTTTGAAATTGTGCATACTTTAGTATGTTAATATTTATAATATTGATATTCTTTTAATTTTTGTTATAATCTTATTAGTAGATATTAATTGTGGAATCCAAGGCCTTTAATTTCAAATATTGATGTACAAATTATAAATAATAATTTAAATGATAATTTTCAATGAAGAATATGGAAACCTTTACTATTTCAATTGATAAAATTAAATTTTTTATGTATTATTTAAACAATTTTTTGTTGAAATATATACTTAATATATATTTAATTTTTTCATGTAAAATTTTTTAAGGAAATTTCGTGTTTTAGAAAGTATAAGATATTATATTAGCAGATTAATACTTATTTAAACAGAAAAATCTGCGAATAACGGAATAGAAGAAAAATATAATAAAATTCATTCATTCAACATCCGTCAATCGGAAAATAATAAATTATTTACTATTTATAAATAAAAATATATTTAATTTTCATTCATTGTTGTTTTATAGGATACTAATTGTTTGTAAAAAATACATTTTTTTTTTGCAATTATAATGAATATTAATTTGATATTCATCGAGTTTTGAGGTAATCGTGATAATAAAATTTGGATTTAATATCATATCGTATAATAAACGTATAGTCTTTAAACTTAAAAGTTCATAAGTAATTTGTAGGAATGATAATTTATGTGTATGACATACAATATTTATACTTTACTAACATGCATTACATGATAATTATTTACAATTTAAAGAATAATCTACCTGCAAGACTATAATACTCGATTTTAGTATTAAGAATAAAATACATAAATAAAAATTAAGCTAATTTCATGATTTTTTTTTAAATTTGTAAATGATTCCATTTTGAATAATAAATTGCAGATATTTGCAAATATGCTTGTTCTATTTATTCAGCATTTTTATATTTCTGTTTAAAAATGTACATGTCTCTAAGAAAGTTATTTTACCAATTCCAACGAAAATATTTCCAATATATACCAAAACTTTGATCCTTTTATCATGTTAAAGTTAAAAATATGCTGCTAAACTTCTCGAATATAATGTGAAACTGTATTTGCATGCATATATGTAATAAAAGTCCATCTGACAATTCCGTCAGTATCAAGTTTTAGTGCGGGCATGAGTTTTGTGTGAACTATCGCTGTAGAACGCTTGTACTTTTCTTAATATTTTGCAAAATAACGAAATGTGATATAAACTTTATATGAAATAAAAATGCGAAATTATTTCTTACAAAGTATATACTACTAATATAGATGTTCTTTTAATAAATTAAAAGATAAAAAATTAGAAACAGGACAAAATTTTATTAAAAAATGAACTGCATAAGTAATTTAATAATGATCCAATACTATATTATGTAATAATTTAGAATATTTAGTTTCTCGTAAATTTTAATAGTAAATTTATGATTTAATATACGTCTTTTAAAATATCATATATATAATCAAAATTATATCTATTTAAATAAATAAAATAAAAATTTTCTTTACTATTGTATTTATACCCTCCCATTTCTTATATCAGTAAATTTTAAATTGATTAAATATTCTTTTGCAAGTCACATTTATTTATTATAATAATGTTTGTATAATAAACAAAATCATAATTTTTGCATCAATAAGTATTTATTTATTTTTTATAATTTATTAATTATTCAGTATTAATTTTTAATAAAGTATTATATATTTGTCTTTATTTACGTACTGTACTGTGAATAATTACTAATTTTCTTTTTCACTTGTATGTATGTGCAGGTATTTTATCATTAATTAAAATAAATTCAAACATATACTTTAAATTGAAATAATTATTTTTTTATGCTTTTTTATTCTTTTCATGCATCATGCAAATGTGTAATACATATTTCAATAGATGCATACACATAAAGAGATACAATTCTATACAACAGTAATATATATATTTATAAAAAAATGATTATATAAAATCTAAATAAATAAATTTATGAAAAGTGTGCGTAATTCTACGTTTATAAATCTTTTGAAATAATACTAATTTAATTCACGAATTAAGAAGAACACTTTTGTACATTTTAAAAGATACTACATTTACATGAATATAAAATATAATATAGGATAATATAACATATAATATGTGACTTGGATTATTTAATGCTATTATTCTATTATAATTATCTTCTTTAATAAGCTCTAGAATTATAGGAGATATTTAACTGACTACATTTAACTCGATTTAACTCAATCTCTAAATTTTTATAGACGATATATGCTTATATATGCTCTGTTAATATATTTATAAAATACATCAAAATATATTATATTTCAAATCTTATGTACTAATATTATTTTCATCCATTTTAATACAATTTTTATTATGAATTCTATTTATATGAAATATTGTATTGCGGTAAATATGAGATTAATAAATTAAATATGGATAGAAAAATATCGAAATAAAGTATAATTAAATACTAGAATAATATAAATACTTAATAATTTCGGTGTAATGCAATTAATAAATTTTACTTAAGAAATATATTTCAATCAATTATTTTTATTTATTTTTTTTTTTTTATATTCTATTATCATTTTATTATTACTTCATTAATATATTTCATTAATATATTAATCATTTATATTCTATATTCAAAATGAATATGTTTTATATTATTAAGTTCCTCTAATAATTTAATTAAGTAATTTTTCTAATTTAATTTTTAATAAAATTTTTATTTTTACAGCATCCGAAACAATTAGCAAAATATATTGAAAATTTAGATATACCATAAGAAGGCTAATAAAAGATTTTTTATATTAAATTCAGATATTAAAATAACAAATAAACAATAATAATCAATAAAAACAGTTATAAATGTAGCCTACCATATTTTTGTTTTGTTTTTTGTGAAATTAAATTATCAATACATAATATTTCAATAAATAAAATAAAAATTGTATTATCAGAAATTGATTAGACAATGCGATATATTTTCAAATAAAATAGTGTTAAATTAATGTATTGCAATTAATTAGGTGGATATATCAGCAGGATTTTTGTACAATTGTAAAAAATATAATAATTGTAATTATTGCTGCAATTTATTATTTATT